GTGCTTTTACTGACACCATCATCCTTAGGTTTTCTAATTACTTTGTATACTTTATACACCATTGAAATATCCATACAATATTTTTTTCTGGCCAAGGAACACATTTCACAGTGAAAGAGGTAAGACAATGGTTTAATGACTATGGGCTTCCCTATTCTTATCACATACACCATCACCCACAAACAACTGCCCTTACAAAGGGTGGGATGGCCTATGGAAGATTTAGTTGTAGCAACAGTTAGGAAACAACACTTTATGAGATCTGAGGGCCATCATACAGAATTCAGTGTATTCTTTGAATCAACAACCAATATATAATTCTCTTTCTCCCATAAAAAGAATATATATAGGTCTAGGAACCAAAGGGTGGAAATCGAAGTGACACCTCTCATCACTTCACTTAGTGAAGCTCTTGCAAAAATTTAATTCACAGGAGTCAATTGGTGTTCCCCATGACATTGAACCAATAGGCATAAAAAGTGTGTTTACTACGTGGCTGGGATGAGTGATCCTAATAATCAAGGGTTAATAAGGATTCTACTACACAATAGGGTAGAGAAGAGCAAATTGGGAATCCAAGAGATTCCCTGAGGGACCCTAGCACTGCCATGTCCATAGCAAAAGTTCAAGGAAAATTAAAGCAACCTAATAAAGATAGGACCTCCAAGAGTGCAGATTCCATGCAGTCATTGTGGAGGCAACCTCTAGGGTCCTTTAGGAGCATAATGCACAACTTGCTCCTACAAAGAATGTTCAGGATTGCTGGACCCAGTGGAGTAAGGCTTTATCTAATATACATATATATTATATGGAAATATAATATATATATGGAAATATATATATGGAAATCCCCTATGTGTTTTCATCCACCTCATGTACAGTAATAAGGTTAGCCAAAGAATACACTAGCCATATACATGTAGAACCACCAAGGGCCTCATGCTACCAAGCAAATAACCATGAGCAGCTAAGGTGCTTGTTAGAGGCAAGGGGCATACATGGATTCAAAAGAGAGAAATGGAAGTCAGAAAAAATGAGCTGTGGCCGCTAGGCTAGTTTCAGTAACAAAGACTATAACCATTGTCCTTATTTCCTTCCTTGCTCTCTCTGTGTGTGTATGTGTGCATTTCCATCCTCTCTATCTTTGCCCCATTGTAAAATACACTGTGTTCATAGTGGCTGAATGTACAATTTAGTTAATAGCTCATAGCATATCTAGAAAGGATTGCAAGGTAACTAGAATAGGAAGGGTTATCACCCAAAATTACTGGACTTGGAGCTGGAGAGTGAGTGATAAGATTTGTGCTAATCTTTTGGAGAAAGGGTAAATGGTGGTTATACATGGATAGTAGCATTATGTTGAACCAAGGCATTTTTGAAAGTGTAAGTTTGGGGAAAAGCTTACTATCCATTTTGTTTTTACAAATGTTTGGTCTCGTAGATATTTCTTATCCTGCCTCTCTCTCTCCTCTCTCTCTCTCACTCTCCCCACCCCCTACTTCCCCCTTTCTTGGGTATCCAGCATTCATTCTACCTTCTTTTATTCAGTTCAAAGGAAATATTACTCTAGGGATTGCATTTTCAACTTTTCAATGTGGGGGTGGAGATGGATGGGGTGGTGGGTAATCACTCCCAAAGGGTGAAAATTGGTTCTTCGGGAGGCAAAAATAATCAGCTATTTTTGTTGATTGGCCCTTTAAGGCTCAAGCCTACCTTATAAAATCTTATTCCTCAGTTTGTAATTTCTCTTACTGGATTTTCTCGGCTATCACATGAGCAGCAATGATGCTGAGGTCACAGAAGATACCCAAAAATGTATGAAAGCTAAATCTTACAAAACCTCAGAGAAAATAGATGGCTGTGATTGGAGGACTTTCAATCCATTGCTCCATTGCAATCATATAGTGAGAACTGAGTGGTCTGTGTATACCTGTTGGTTGCCATTGACTGCCTTTGATCCTGAGTGCCTTTGCGTTATTTGGGCTTTGAGAATTAAATTAATAGTTTCTTTTTTTAAGGTTTTATTTATTTATTCATGAGAGACACAGAGAGGCAGAGACATACGCAGAGGGAGAAGCAGGCTCCATGCAGGGAGCCCAATGCAGGACTCAATCCTGGACCTGGGGATCCTGCCCTGAGCCAAAGGCAGATGCCCAACCACTGAGCCACCCAGGCGTCCCAAAATAGTTTCTATTTAATTCTACAAAAGTTATTCACTCCATCATTACTTATGTCAAGTACTGAAAAGAAAAACTGCTGACAATACCTGAATGAATATCTAGCAGCTACTAATTTTCTTGTATCAAGCAACACTTAAAAATTAACTTCACTAAAAGTAGTTTTAAATTAACTTAAAGTTCCAATTGTTTCTTTTGCTAGAAAAATAAGTTGTGAATTGCTTTTAAAAAATTTACTGCACTATCATAACTGTTATAAAAATGGCTAATTTCCGGGGGCACCTGGCTGACTCAGATGGTAGAACATGTGACTCTTGACCTCAGGGTCAGGAGTTCAAACCTCACATTGGGTGTGGAGCCTACTTAAAAAATGGCTAATTTTCATATGTAATTTGATATATTAAAATGTACATTATGTTATAATGTAAATAAATTAATTTAAAGTTGTTCAAGTAGTTATAAAATTAAATTTTTTTGTATATTTTTTATTGGAGTTCGATTTGCCAACATATAGTATATTACGTGTTCATCCTGTCAAGTGCCCCTCTCAGTGCCTGTCACCCAGTCACCCCATCCCCCACCCACCTCCCCCTCCACTACCCCTTATTCGTTTTCCAGAGTTAGGAGTCCCTCCTGTTTTGTCACCCTCTCCAATTTCTCCCACTCACTTTCTCTCCTTTCCCCTATAATCCCTTTCACTATTTTTTTATATTCCCCCTATGAGTGAAACCATATGTCTGTCCTTCAATTGACTTACTTCACTCAGCATAATACCCTCCAGTTCCATCCACGTGGAAGCAAATGGTGGGTATTCATCGTTTCTAATGGCTAATATTCCATTGTATACATATACCACATCTTCTTTATCCATTCATCTTTCGATGGACATCAAGGCTCCTTCCACAGTTTGGCTACTGTGGACATTGCTGCTATAAACATTGGGGTGCAGGTGCCTCGGTTTTTCACTGCATCTGTATCTTTGGGGTAAATCCCAAGTAGTGCAATTGCTGGGTCGTAGGGTAGCTCTATTTTTAACTCTATAAAATGTTAATAGCTTTTCTGATTTTTAAAGTAACCTTTAACTTAAACATTTTAGTCAGCTAGTGCTGTATTTAATAACAATATTTTATGTATAAAGCAGAAATATAATTATTAGATATATATACAGTATATCTGTGGTTTTGAAATTTCATGGGAGGAGCAATAGCAATTAGGACAAAAATGTCTAAAAAGGCTTCTTAAGGAATGATAATGAAAGATAGCAGAGAAACTGCTCTACAAGGACTCTCTGCTCTTCCATCTCCTGGCCAAGGGGAAGACATACAACGTAATCTAGAATTATTTTTAATTTAATAGATATTGAGAGAATGAAAATTGTGGGAGTTCATTCATTGCAGTAATGTCCTCCAAGCCAACAACTGGCAAAAACATGAACTGGAGTCTGCCCCCATTTCTTCTTCCCAGCTCTGGCCATCCCCACTTGGTGTGGGCTTCCTGGAGAAAAGTGCAGGGAAATACTCCCTAAAATAGGGTAAAGGTGGATCTCTGATTACCTGAGGGCCCTATGCCTTAGTGGGCAGTGTAGCTGAGAAGACACATTCAATCACACAAGTGTACTTTGGCACGTGGTTCCAATGTTCCTCTCTTCCCCAACTCCTGCCACCATCCCCAGTAATTTAACCATCCACATGGATAGCCCAACCAATACCCTGGTGCTCCATGCTATTGACCCCACATCTCCAAGAAATGCCATCTTCTCTCCACTAAGCACCCAATCCTTGGACTTTACATCACTGAGTTCTCTCTGCTCTGTCTTCTTAAATACAATCATCCCACTGTCTGACCATATGACCAGTCCCTTAGATCACCTTTCCAGCTCTCCCAACACCCCTTCCCAAACACCACTAACACTGCCAGACATAGAGCAGGCACTTGGTACATTTATTTAACATTCTGCCCTATTCAGACTTCACTGAAACTCCTGCCCACAGACTCCTATGTGGTCTCCCAGGTCATCACACAATTTCCTTATCTGCCTCTCCAAGCCGGCCTGGGTCTCATGATCCATCTCTTCCACCATTCTGCTTATCTACTTTGTCAGGCACGGTGTACAAAGTAATGAAGATACAGACCCACATACTCACTGCCCTTGATCGTGTGTCCCTTATTCCAGAACTAAAACCTTGGGATAAATTAACTCATTTTGATTCCAAGATTGCTGAGCACCTTGCCATGGGAGAAGGGTCTCCTAAAAACTTTGGGCTCCATCCTCAATTGCAGCCTCCCCTCTGCCTGACATCTTTCCACAGTCCCCTCTCCAGGTCTTTTCTGGACAGTCCCTTTTCCCAGACCTTACCCTTCTGCCTTCTCAGGGCTACATGGGTCAGTCTTTAACATCTCCCTATTGGCTCCTGCCTGCTCAAGCCTCTCTCTCCTTTCCCAAGAAAATCCTTACTTGTTCCTGTATCTCCCTTTAGCTACCTCTCTCTTCCCTCTCTCATCCAAATTCCTTAAAAAAGAGAACCTATGTTTGATGTCCAGTCTCCTCTACCTCTGCTTTCTGCTTGACTTGCCTATCTTAGGGCTCTTCTTCAAAGTGTGTCCTCAATCTTCAAAGTGTGTGCTTACAATCTTCATGACCCCCCACCCCACTGCAATCCTGTCTACACTGCAAGACTAGAGATGCAGACCAAACTATCCGAGAGATCATAATCTTGCTCCCTTGAATCCAGTAAACAAAGATTGAGGTGGAAACTCTCCCCATTTATTTTTAAATGCAATACCAAAATATGACAGCCCACCAAAAAAAAAAAAGCAATAAACTCAGAAATGGCAAATAGATTTAATGTAGAGTGTCAACTTCAATTGATTGATAGTGGCTGCCTAGAGTGCTATTTGAGTAGGTTTCTGAGGATGCACCCTGGCTCGAAGAGAAAGACTGCTGGGATTAGGAGTATCTGAAAATACAAGTAAAAGAAATTCAAAAAGTCACCCAAGAACCACCAAAAGGGAAGGAACAAAATGCCAATAATGGAATTTTCCCACATGCTCCATATGGTCCTGCAACCTTGGCCTTCCTATAACCAGCCAGCTCCTCATCCCAACCCATGAAGCCCCAGCTATTCCAACCCAGTCTAAGTAGATACCTGAAATCTCACTTATAGGAGAAACCACAGGCACCAGAGCTGCCACTGGTGCTAGCACCAGCTCCACTGAGACCTGCGAAGAGCCCAAATGTGAGAGTGGCAGTCAGGCTAGCACTGGCACCAAAGCCACCATTGGCATTAGCACTGGCGCTAGCACTGGAGCTAGCACCACTGCTCTCTTGGGCTTTGGCTTTAGCTTCAGCTCCAGTTTGGATCCGGGCTTTGGCCCAGGGTCCAATATCAGCTTCGTCCCAGTTGCAGGGCCCAGCAGCATTCTCAGAGCCAAGCCCAATGCCCATTCGAGCTCTAATCTCTGCTCTCGCCTTGGCTTCAGCTGCAGCTTCAGCAGCGGCCTTCATATCTGCTTCCATTGCCTCTCGGTACTGAGCTGCCCATTCCTTGGGATCCTTCTTTTGTACCTGAAACAGAAACAACGACTGTCAGAAGAATCACAATCCAAGAACTGGGCACCTGGGTAGATCAGTGGTTGAGTGTCTACCTTTGGCTCGGGTTGTGATCCCTGGGTCCTGGGATCAAGTCCCACATCAGGCTCCTCACGGGGAGCCTGCTTCTCCCTCTGCCTCTGTCTCTGCCTCTCTCTGTCTCTCATGAATAAATAAATAAAATCTTTTTAAAAATCCAAGAACTGAATCCCTAACTGTATGCTAGGCACCGTGCTGCATGCTCTACACAACAATAACAATATAATAAGACAACCTAACTACTAGTATTTATGTACTTAACATTCCATCCCTGCTCTGACACTTATTAGCTCTGAGACCTTAGACATGTCACCTAATCACCTCTCCGAGCCTGATTTTTCTAATCTGGCAGAGGGTAATGAATGACATGTTAATTGTACAAATTAAACAATTCAGATAAATGTTTGGCACATTAACAGAAGCTTCAGAATGTTCACATCTGAGTGGCGGGCTGCTCTTTACACAGCGTAACCTAGCCAGCAGCACCCCATGCTCTTAATATGCCAAGCTTGAGCAGCTATCCAATTACCTTGCAGGCAAACTTGAGGACTTTCATTTTGCTGGTCTCATAGTAGGAACGCAGGCCCCAGAAGAACTCATACTCAGGGGGATTGCTATTAGGGACTCTGGCATAGTCCAAGTACCTTGAAAAGAGAGGTTGAAAGCCTTTATGTCTAAGACAACCACGGCCCACCCATGTATGGACTGGAAAAATTCTAAATGGCAATCAACCCTAAGTACTTTAGCTTTTCTTCCATTATTGAGCCTTGTCCCGTTGGTCCTGTTCAGAAGCCATGTGGAGGTGCAAGGTGAGACACAAGTAGGCTATCTGTTCATAAGAAGGCCACAAGTTTTGTGCTCTTGTCACAATGAACCCAGATTCTTGTTGGCTCTGTTATGTTTAGAGGAGCCATTTCCTCAGGCCCCTCTGCCCTGAGCACACCCCACCAGTGGTCATGTCCATGACCTGGTGAGCCCTGAGACAGTCTACCATAGAAAATGACTAAGTGGAAGAAACAGTCTACCAAGAGTAGTGTGCTCGTGCATATTCCCGACTGTGTGTGTGTGTGTGTGTGTGTGTGTGTGTGTATGTGCGCATGCCCATGAAGGTACATATTAACGTGCCTATGTGAGTACACATGTGTTCTCTAAAGATAATGGGTATGGTGGGCCCTGGCCAGAAAGTCAGGAGGGCCCCATGACCAAATGGTCCCCTTACCAGCCAGGGCCACAATCAGACTTCCACTCTCTGAGACCCAGGTCCCTCAATTGAAAATAGGGATGGGATGGCAGCACTTATTCTGCAGGGTAGTTACAAAAATGAAATGAGATGTACAAGTCAAGTCACCAGCACAGTACCTGGCTGCCTAAAGCTATCATTCTATAGCGTTTCTTTATGGACGTTAATTTTTATAAAGCCCTGGTTAGTGCAGTAAAAAGAACCAAGGCACTGTGGCCAGGATCTAAATATGACTCTTCCATTTGCTACCTGTGTAACCCCCCTGAGCAAATTACTTCACTTCTCTGAACCTCAGTTTACTTACATCTACAATGCTGGTGATAATAATCCCTACCTTGAAAAATTGCTCTGAAAGCATATGTGAAAGTACATGTAGGTCAGGAAATATGTCCTCCTGTTCCCTCTCACTAACTTAGGAAAAAGTGACCTACCACCTGCATGCACACTCACGAACCATAGGTTAATTACTCAGTTCTGAAATAAGCAAAACATATGGAACACACCATCATCAGACACACTTACTTCTGCTTCACAAACTCATCAGTAATAAGCTTCTTCACGTCCCCAAAAAGCGAGTGATGTATCCTGATAGCAGAGAAAGAAAAATCCATCAGTAAATCAATCAATCAATCAGATATGGTACTCCCCAGATGTATGCAGAGGCATTTTCAACAGGAAAAGAGGTTATGAGCATAAGAAGAAAACTCCATAATAGCCCAAGAGATAGTGAAACAGAGGACAGAGAGTTTGGGACCATTTCCCCACCCACTCAGGTCAAACCCTGGACCTTCTACCAGTAACCCCACCCATTCCACCAGACCACCAGACTGATGCAATCCTGGGACCATCCTCTCTTGCCAAATGACAATACGGACAGCAAGCACTGAGAGAGCCCAATCATACCCAGGGCGCAGCCCCAGCTTGCGCAGCACCTCCCAGATGACAGCTGCAAAGGGAGGCAAGAGGAGACAGGGAGAGAAAATGAACATGTGGAATTCCAACTGTGGCCACCCATTCAGCTACATGCCCACTCACCCTCACTGGACCGATTTCCATTCATAAAGATGATGCTAAGAAGCACCATGAGGAGACCTAGCTTTGGCGAATCCTTAGTCCTAGGGAAATAACAGGGTAGAGAGAAGATTTAGGTCCAGCAGCCATCTGCAAAAAACATATCAGCCAGCTCACTAGGCTACCCTCTCCCAGATTCCTCACACATGACAGAATTCTTCCCAGTCTATGCTTCAAGCTCTATGTGACACTGAGCAAGGCACTTAGACTCTTGAGTCTCAGTCTCCTGTTAAGTAGAATGGCAAAATCCAATGCTCCTCTGTCCCAGGTTGCCAAAAGGATAGAAGAATGCCTGTCAACCTGGAACAACCCAGGCACCCAGCCAGTGTGAGTCCTTTCTCTCCCAAACCGGTCCTCCTGCTCCAAGAGAATTCTAGGCACAGCCCCAGTGATGCTCCTGTCCTTCAAGGATCATGATTCACCCATACCAGGAAGAACCACTCTACCAAAGCCAGTAGGAAGAGACAGGCAACAACAGGTCTGCTTTTCTGGGAAGCTTCTGGAAAAACAGAAAACCTGACAGGAGGAATATAACATTCTAGGCTTCTATACTCTTCAGTCACCATTACCATGTGCAGGGCTCCAACTATGTGTGGGAATTGGAACGGGGGCTTTTTAGGTTCTGTCTTTCTGCCTCTCCAAGGGGTTGTGGGGAGAGACGACAGGGATGGAGTAGTGCCATAGACAGAAGCAGAGCCTCCCTCCCACCCCAGCCCTTTCCCAGCTTACGTTCCTAGTATGCCTGCATCAGTGGGCTCTAAGGTGCTGAGAAGAATGTACAAGTGGTCATTCTTATCAATTTCCTTCAACTGAATCCCAAATACCTACAGATGGGGAGAACAGCTTGTAAGATCACAAGTTCAGATTCCTGGGCATCCCAAAGTTCCCATGTACCTAGGTATGTGGGGGTATGTGGGTGTAGGTGTGAATGCGCATTCGTGTGGTGTGGGGGGAGGGGCCAGTGAGATAATGTACATAAGCCTAGGTGGATGGCACACAGCAAACAGCAAAGAAATGTACTGTTGTTCTCAGCATCATCTCTGATTCTCAGGAATCTAGGGAGATAGAGAACGGGGAATGGAAGGAAGATGTAAGCATGTAAAATATATTACAGGACATCTCCAGCAGCAGACAGAAGCCAGGACTAAGTTGGGTGGCTTGGGTCCTAGCTGTGCTTTTATGAGACTTGCTATGTGACCCTGGGCTAGTTTATGCCCCTCCTTAGATCACCCCAGATATGGGAAGACCCCTTCCTATCTACCCATCCACACAGTGATAGGGTTGAATTAGTGAGTCTGTGGTCCCTCCCCCAGAACAGACATGTATATTTGTTCAATTCAATCCTTCCCCATTGCATCCATCCCCCATGGCTGCCCCTTCACCTTCTCCAAGGAATAGCCTGCTCGTTCAATGATTTCAGGGTACACATCAGTGTATTCTTTGATGATGTCCTTCAGCATGTCTGCAAGGGGAGAGTGTTGCGAGCACCTGAGCTGAAATGAAGTCAGGTGGCCCCCAATCCAAGCTAAAGACCGTTTGCCAACTCTGTTGTGGGTGGCACAAACAGGTTCTGAAGTAATGAACAGAGATGCTAGCACTGCCCAGTTAGAACTTTGGGAGTACAAAGGTAGGAGTTTAAGGACAAGAAATGTCCTCAGCACATGGGAAAAAGGGCCATGGAGGGCACAGCAGAACTCTACCTGAGCGTTTGATGGGAATCTTCGTCTGGTCTTTAACCAAGAGGTACTTCACCAAATCGTTTGCCTGGGAAAGGGAAAAAAAGGTAGAAAGATCAAAATACGTTTGCACAAGATTTGAGAGGAAGGCAGAAAAGGTAGGCAAGGCAGTAGATAAGGCAGAGTGGAGAGGACAGGGTTCTTACCCTCCCCTGCAAAAGGGCCACATCTCGAGGTATTGGTGCTTCAGGCTCTTGGGATGACTGGAGCTTGGCAGCTCGACGGCGAGCCTTGCCCCTGCGGGCCTTAGGTGACCTCAGGGAGAGCAAAGCTCTTCGGGCCCAAGCAGCCAAACGAGTCCTTGATGCCCTGCGGGCCCAAAAGGCTATGGGGCCCCTTGAAGCCCTGCGCGCCATTGAGGCCATTAGGGCCTTGGAGACCCTTCGGCCAGCTGTGGTTCCAGAAGCCTGACTCTGATCACTATTGCCATCCTCTTCACTATTCAGATGCTTCACCTGCAGCAACAGAGAGGAAGCACAATATTGTCAAACAAAGTAGATGTTCCTTTTCCCTCATCCTCTCTCTTCTGGAAGGCCCCTCTAATCCCACCCCTGGAGTAACAGCCTGACTAGACATTGGCCATGTTGAGTCTTGGGACTGTTTTTCACTGACTTCAATGCAGAAGTTTCATCTCTCTACCAGGCTAGGAACAACCTGAGATGGGGCCTGAGAATTCTTCTCTTCCTATGTCCACCACTGGCCCTTCTTGTACCACCCTGCACAAGTCACCCCACCTCTCTAGGACTCAGCTTCCTTCGCTATAAAACTGGATTACTTTCAGGATTTAATGAAATAACCTGTATGCATGTGCCTAGCTCAAGGTCTAACACATGGTAGGTCCTATGTAAATACAAACTACATTAACATTGCAGCTAAGTTTGTGTACTATCTCAGTTCTCCATGACTCTGTGAACTCTCTGCAGAGAGAAATTATATCACATTCCTCTTATAGTCCCCCTTAATCTTGATGAGCACAGGGAACTTTCTAAATGTTCGCAGAACAAATGGACTAATGAAGAGAAGTGGAAAGGGAAGACTGGTGTTTATAGACGTCTTACCTTTCTGGCTTTCTTGGCCTTGACCTTGGGCCGAGTATCCTGATTCTCCTGAGCCTGGGCAGCCGCACCATCAGGCTTAGGTTCATCTGCCAAAGCCTGAGAGGCAGGAGCCTCAGTCTCCAGGGCCTTTGTACCAGCCTTTATATCAGCCACACAGCTGACCTTTTTGGTTTCAGTGGCAGGCATTATCACAGGCTGAGGGTCAGCACTCTGCATCTTGGTGTCAGCTGCTGGACTCTTCTTTTCAACTGTCAGAACCTGGGTATCAGTCAGCTTAGTGGTAGGGGAGGCCTGAGTGGCAGCCGCCTCATGAGCCTCTGGGGCCTTTGAGACCTCTGTGGCCTTTGAGACTCCTGCAGCATTTGAGACCTTCAAGGCTTCTGAGGTCTCCAGTGCCTTTGAGGTCTTTGGTATCTCTGAGACCTCCAAATTATGGGTCACTGTCAATAGGGTCTGTATCTTCAAGCCACTGTCCTCTGAAGCTTCAGCCTGCAAGAGGAAGCAGGAAAGCTCACAGACCTCCTCCCCATTCCCAACTAGGAAAATGGCTCCAAAATTCCAGGGCCTCACTTCTCTGACATATACTAACTCCTACTTACAGTGAGCTCTGCCCACCTAGACCCAACAAGGCCTCTCCTTCCTCTGAGCAGGAAGTGATGGCAGAAAAAGGCAGGCCTGCCCTCCCTCTCTACTTCCTTCCTCCATCCTTCATTCTTCCTTCTTTCCTCCCTCCCTCCCTCTACTGGTGAGGGGGGGCACCCAGGAAGGAAAGTGGGTAAAGGACAAGGATGGGAGGGGTGGTACCAAGGGAACTGAGGCAGCAACGCGCTGGAGAAGAAAAGTAGTAAGGGAGAGGACAAAATGAGGCCTTACCTGGAAGCGGGTTGGACCCGTACCTTTCTCGCTTGTGTCAGACATGTCTCAAGTTGGCCTGGCAAGAGCTGAGCCTGAGGAGAGAAGGCCTGCGTCAAAGGGCCTGAACGTCCTCTCTCCTGTTCTGCCTGGAAGCTGATTCTCACTTTCCCTAGGGCCCCAATCCCAAACCCAAACCCCGCCCCCGCCCCCAATGACTCCGTTCTCGGATTCAGTAATCCAAAACTTCTAGATTTCAATTCTCTGCAGCCGCACCCTCCCCTTCTCCAGGAAGATGTGCCAGCGCGGCAGCTCTGAGGACCCCGCCCCTTTTCCCAGTGCACCCCCCCTCCAGCCGCAGACCAACAATGCGCATGCGCGTTCGCTGCAGGGCCCACCTCAGCCCCGCCCGCTTTCCCAGCACAAGCTCTTTCTTTGAAGTCCACCATGCACATGCGCATTCGGCAGCAGCCCGTCTTCAGGCTGGCTTTCCTCTACACGCCCCTTCCTAGCAATCCAGAGTGTGCATGCGCAATGGTCTGGACTCCGTCCACCGCCCTTTCTCAACACAAGCCCTTCTCCAGGTCCGCAGTACCATTTGGTCCCGCCCCCTCCCCAACAAGCCTTCTTCTAAAATTGTCGCAGTTTGGTGGTCCCGGCCCCTCCCCTATTCACACCCACCCCAAGTCCACACTATGGCCCTGTCCCGCCCTTTTTCACAACACGCCCCCTCCAACCAGGGGCAAAGCGCATCTTGGTTCCGCCCCTTCCTTAGTACACCCCCTCCTCAAATCTAGAATGGAGCCAGTGATTCCATTTTAGGCCCAGCCAAACCGGGTCCAGTCCCCTCCCTTCCCATCCGGATGGATCCGGTACGATCCGGTCCCTACAGCAGGTTTTCTCCAGATATGAGAGGGTGGGGCCGATCCCTATTGGGCTGTGATCCAGAGCCGGGCCCCGCAGCTCACCTCCTTCTACTTAAGTTCCAGAGTGCGTCCACGCTCCAAGCCCCTCTAAAACTCCTAGACTGCCCTCCCTGCTCCAGGCCGGAAGTGGTCCCGCCCCTTTCCGCCTCCCTAGGGGGGCCTCTGTCGCAGCCAGTCTGCCCTTCCCCCCGTCCCCCGCTGCTCCTCATTCCTTATCACCCCCCGTATTCCCTCTGCCTTGCTCCCTGCTCCCTATCACCCCTCGCATTTCCTATTTTACCCCACAGAATTCCTTATTCCCATTCCTTACATCCTCCTCCCGTGTTACCTTTGCACCCCCTTCCCTAGTACTCTTAACCCTTCTCTGCATTCCCTATTTTCTTCTCTGGATTTCCACTTTCCCTCAGTATTCCCCTCTCCCTCCCAGTCGGTCACTCAACAAACCCGGTTCCCCTCCTCCCCACTAGTCTCAGATCGCCAATCCTTACCGCCTACTACCCTCAGGAGTCCTGATTGCCTACATCCTGCTCCAGGTCATCTCTCCCTCAGCTGCAGTGGTGCAGTATGGATTGCCCACCTGCCTGGCTATAGGTTCGAAGGAACTGAAATCACTGGCTGCCAGGAAACCCAAATCTCAACGCCCCTCACCTTGTCCTCCAGCAAGTCCGGGATGAGTCTGCCCTCTCTCAGTCCCTCTCGAAGTCTCAGCCTCCTGGACTAGAGCTGCAGCCAGCCCAGCCCAGCCCCTTTCCGCAGCCCCCTGCCACCCCCCTCCTTCCTTGGGGGTGGGGCAAGGGGCCCAGCTCTGGGCTGTCTGACGCCAAAGCCCATGTTTATGCCACTGTACCAGGCTCAGTCTGCAGACCTTCAAACTAAAACCACCCCCTCAAAGCGATTCATTCATTGAATGTATTTATTTTCGTATCTTTATTTTTTCTTATTACAAAGATAATCATGTGAAAATTCAAATAATGCAGAAATGTGTAACATACCAATGAAAGGCCACCCTTATCTCATTTCCCAGAAATAACCACTATTAACATTTTTATATACAGTCCTCCAGATTTTTTTCCTATTCATTACTAATTATTTGGGGTTTCTCCCCACAAATGGTATCCTACACCTACTGTTCCATGACCTGTTTTTTTTCCAGTTATATATTCTAAACAGCTTTCTATAGTGCACATTTTTCTTAACAACTTCATAGTCTTATCTTGTATAGATGGCCCATAATTTATTTAACCAGTCCAGGATACATGGCTATGGACATTCAGATTGTCTCTCTCTCTCTCTCTCTCTCTCTCTCTCTCTCTCCTCTCTTCTCTCTCTCTCTCTCTCTCTCCTATTACAAGCAATGCTACAAGGAATATTCTGCATCTGTATATCTGTATTGAGCTTTTTTTATTTGCAGTACTTTTTGCTGACTAAAATGCTACAAAAAGTCTTCCATTTGATAAGAAATTTGTCAACTTACTCTCAAAAGGTACATGGGAATAATGTTTCCACCAACAATGTCTCTCATATGCTTGTGTTACATATATAACAAATATTTTTCATGTTGTTCATGATAACCTTTGCTATACAAAAGGATTTAATTGTTTTTTTTTTTTTTTTTTTTTATTTATTTACGATAGTCATACAGAGAGAGAGAGAGGGGCAGAGACACAGGCAGAGGGAGAAGCAGGCTCCATGCACCGGGAGCCTGACGTGGGATTCGATCCCGGGTCTCCAGGATCGCGCCCTGGGCCAAAGGCAGGCGCCAAACCGCTGCGCCACCCAGGGATCCCATTTTTTTTTTTTTTTTTTTTTTTTGGATTTAATTGTTATATGATGAAATGTATCAGGTTTTCCTTTATCACGACTGGATTCTGCTTCACGCTTAAAGATGCTTTCCACACTCCTATAACAATCCCTGTTTTTTCCAAGCACTTTTATGGCTTTGATATTTACATTTAAATATTTGATTATTCCAAAATCTGTTTTGTAAAAGGACTCAGCTTAATTATTTTCCAAAATCACTGTCTCTTATCCTTACACCATTTGCAAATTAATCCATCTTTTTTCCCATTGATTTGACATGACACTTTTATCACATAATAAATTCACATAAGTAATTGGGTCTATTCAAGAGAACAAAATAAGATGTATAAATAATGGAAAGTAGACAGAATTATCATTAGTTACTGAGTATATGAATGCAGACCTGGAGAACCCCAAAGCATCAACTAAAAAGTTATTAGAAACCATAATAAAATTCAGCATAGTGGTCAGTTACAGAAATAATATTCAATACCTTTCTTACACTCAAAAGTAATTCAAATGGTCATAAGTCTAGTGCTTTATGAGGTCACCTTTTCCTTTACTATAATAAAATATCAATCCCTACATTCTATGGATAATTCTATCTCTCTCTCTCTCTCTCTCTCTCTCTCTCTCTCTCTCTTTCACACACACACACACACACACACACACACACACACACACACACTTCCCACACAAGATGGGCCTCTGTTCTCCTGACTCCTCTCTTTCTCTCAATTGTTGCTTCCTCCAAGTTTTTATCAGTTTCCTAATTTCTTGTCTCCTAGATTCTCTCCCCCATCCACAAGGGCTTTATTTCACACTAGACACCGCTCCTCTTTGCCTTCCAGTTCTAGTACCCAAATTCCCATTGCTTCCAAATCATAGCTAGCCTTGAATGCCAAGGTAAGGACTTTGGTCTTGATCTTGTGAGCACTGAGAGGTTTTTGAAGGCGTTTAGGCTTTGATACAATACAGATTTGAGTTTTAGATAGAACACCCTAGCTGCCTAATCAATAAGAAGTATAGATTAGATGTCTACCTGGAAAGAGGGTGAGTAGTTATCTAAGTAAGCAATGATTGTGTTTGGCCTAGAGTGGTAGCAATGGAGGTAGTGAGAAATGATTGACTTCAGAATATATTAAAGAAGTAAAAAGGGGCAAGACTTTATGAATAATTGGGTGCGAGGAAAGAGGTAAGGAAGAGGGAAGTATCAAAGGGAACTATTGGGGATCTGATTTGAGAGATCAAATGTGTCAGTGGTAACTCATTTCACTGAGATAGGGAATACTAATAGAGGGGAACTGGTCAGTGATATTGAGATACCTGTGGGACATCCAAGAAGAAATATTCCATAGGTAGTTGAATATACACATCTGAAGCTCATGAAAAAATGTATGGACTGAGATAACAGATCTAGAAGTCATCAATATATAAATGGTTCTTTAATCTATGGAAAGGAAAATAGCACCTGAGAAGAATGTGCAGCCTTAGAAGAGATGAAGCCTAGGATAGAGCCCTGGAGACAAACAGTGACCATGGCATAGGTGGAGGACAAGGACCCCATGTCTCGTGGATGGATATGTAGTGACCAAAGAAATAGGAAGAAAAGCAGGAGAAAGTAATGTCATAAAACCAGGGGAAAATAATGTTTCAAAAGGAAGAAGGGGTCAATAGTGTTGAATGCTATCAAGAGGTCAAGAAAAATGAAAAAATGTCTAGAAATTATAGCAATCAGGTGGTGGTCTGGTCTTTTGGAGGGGATAATTTCACTACACACATTTGTGGCATAGATTGGTAATTGCTTACCCCAATATCCATTCTTATCTTCTTCCTTAGTAATAAAACATCTTGAATTTTAGCTGGACACAGCCTCCTGGAATAAAGGCCATGAAGACAAGGGTGAAATCCTAAGGATAGTGGAGCAGTAAACTAAAAAGAACCTGGATCTCTTAACAATCTCACGGTACCACCATACCAGCTTTAGACTGCCTACCCTCTAGATTTCTTTTGGGTGAGATAGATACATGTATGTCTTATTTAAACCATTGTTACTTGGAAGTCTATGTCATGCAGTAGTTTCATGATTGTAGTGAGTTGAGATGTGAATGGTAGGTGAGGTATACATGACAATGAGTATAGACTACTCTCTCTTTTTTTAAGATTTTATTTATTTGCTTGACAGAGAGAGAGGGAGCACAACAGACAGAGAAAGAGAGAGAAGCAGACTCCCCGCTGAGCAGGGAGTCTGATGCGGGGCTCTATCCCAGGACCCTGAGATCAGGACCTGAGCAGAAGGCAGACTAAGCCACCCAGGCGTCTTCTTTCTTTCTTTCTTTCTTTCTTTCTTTCTTTCTTTCTTTCTTTCTTTCTTTCTTTCTTCTTTCTTTCTTTCTTTTTTCTTTCTTTCTTTCTTCCTTCCTTCCTTCCTTCCTTCCTTCCTTCCTTCCTTCCTTTCTTCTTTCTTTCTTTCTTTCTTTCTTTCTTTCTTTCTTTCTTTCTTCTTTCTTTCTTTTCTTTCTTTCTTTTTCTTTCTTTCA